GACCTGTTTTTTTTTGGCTAATAATATGTAAGGTAAGAATACCACTTTTTCATGGTAAGGATTTTTTAAATTCGTACCCTACTGTATACACAAATGGTATACCACACTGCAACCCGCTGTAGTGTATAACTTATAACTCAAAAACTACTGGTTAAAAAATTAATTCTGTTATATCTAAAAGAGCTTTGCATAAGCAAAAGCAACGCGTCTCCACCTCATAAGAGTCTACAAGCTGCTTTAGCTTTTTCTGACGCTGGAAAACGAGCGTCAGCATGAAATTGCACCTTAAGAGTTAAAACTATATTTTATATTTGTGATTTCAAGGTTTTTAGACATATATTAACAGATTTTATAATAGGTTTTAAAAATAAAAATATAAAATTTGTTGATATTAACAAAATTGTTAAACATATTTTAAAGTTTTAATTTTTTTAACACAAATGTCAAAAGACACATCTGTCGACCATGTCAATTTTTGCACAGCGTTCTTTAAACTTGGATAATAATAATAATAACTTAAAAACTACTTTTTGGGAAATTCTTTTGTATTTAAAAAAAGATATATACGGGATATCGTGGTATATCGTTATTGCGCCATTGTCGGGACGCCCTGTATATTACTTTGCATTAAATTGTATTAATTTTAAAAGAGTAATATTCTTTTTTATAAAATATATTTTTTTTGTGTTTGTTTTTCGAGGCTAAGCATGCTTATCTTATTTTGGCAGTTTTGAAAAGTAGTAAAAAATATTTGCAATTTGAATTTTCTTTCAAAAAGTGCCATAATAATGTCTGTATTAGAAAAGGCTACCTTCAAGGGTATTTCAAATAAAAAAATAAAATAAAAATTACTGATTTTCGTTTTTTTTTCGGATCATTGATCAGCATAAAATGTTCAAGTTTTTAACTAACTATGTATATCTAAAGATAAGCGTTTAGTAATCTATGACGAAAGTTACTTCTTTTAAAAACTGTATGTGGGTTTTACTTTAAAAGTTTAATTTAATTTTAAAGCAAGTTTAGAGTAGTTATACTATAAATATTCTAGCTTAAAGCAATTTAAACCAATTAATTTGTTGATCGTCTACTATTTCAGTTATGTCTTTGTCAAATGAATTAACTTAATTACAAAAACAAACCAACGTATTATTTTTATCCCGAAATGGGATAGTTACGTATTATTTAACTTTATAATATAATTAAATAACTAAATATAGGCAGCAAAATAATTTAAAAACAATAATTGCATGTACCACTAAATATTTATTATTAAAATTTTAATCCCGGCGCATCCGCCATTTTTATTGGATGATATTTTCTGTATATTTTAATGTATCTAATAATAATAATAGTATTAATTGAATTAATATTTAAAAGCTTTTAGTATTTCACCTTAATTTCTACATTATAGCAAGGTAATAAACATCCAAACAATATTTATTTTCACATTTCCAATATAAACCTTTCACATCAAAAATATCAAACCTAATCATCCATTTCGATAAATCCTAGCTTTCCTATTTTCTAATTGTTTTCCTTTTAATTATTTGGCCGAGTGCGGCGATCCGTGATTTGGCGGAGTTGGCGCGAAAAAATTAATATTGACGATCGCAGCCACCCTGGATTCGCAAACAATGCGTTTTAAATTGGTTTTTATTCATTCCGGCTTTTACTTTTCGAATCAAGCTAGCCCGTCCAAATGGGTTTATTGGCGCATGTGAGGGTCAGGTTGGAGATGTATTGTTTTTTGCTTTTAAATTCAATTGGGTTTATTTAAATGTATATCGGGTGAAAACATAGAAGAGTAGGCACTTAGTTTGATGAATTGGGTGGTTTAATTTGGTTTTAAATTAAATATACCGTTTCCTAGATATTTAGTAAATAACTTTTAGGTTATCATGTCACAAATATAAAAATTAAAAATTTTTAATTTTAGTTAATACAAATTATTTTATATTTGTCATAGGGGCCATTCCACGCTTAACGGATAGGACAGTTGCCGTGTTTTTATTTACAAAATAATATTGTTCTATTATATTACCAATGTCAAATTTTATAAATAGTTCTAAACAAACAAAATTAATAATTTAAAGCGTAACGGGCGGGACTATTACAAAGTCCCGTCCGTTACGCTTTAAATTATTAGTTTTTAAGGAATTAAACAGTCAACCACGATACCTAATTTTGCCAAATAAAAACCTTGTTAAACAGCTTTAGTTTAGAACTATTTATAAGAATTTGACATTTGTAATATAATAGAACAATATTATTTTGTAAATAAAAACACGGCAACTGTCCTATCCGTTACGCGTGGAATGGCCCATAGGTAAAATACACCAAAATGTCATTAAATCTAAAAAAAAGTTTGTATAGGTATTTAAGTTTTTAGTTTTTTTTATAAATAAAATATAATTTTTAAAAAATTATTTATTAAAATTGGGTATTTCCGCGAAACCTTACCCCACCTTGACAATAAATTAGATGTGTTATTTAACAAAATAAAAACTATATCTGAAGTCAAATAGTTCAATTGCGACGTAATTTATAACCTTAAAATATTCGTACATTGTGATGCTAAGAAGCTAGCATTAAGAATAAACACGGAAGAGTTTAAATAATCGATAAAAAGTTTAAATGTCGCACCCGTTACATTTTGAGAAAATTTTAAAAAATAAATACAATATACAATATTTGTGCATTTAAAATACGTGCTTTTTTGAGGTTACTACTTAAGTTTTACACAAAAAATTATTACTATATGCTTTCATCATCAAAATTTTACAGTATCAACTTTAGAAGCCAACTTGGTCGCATTTGCCGATTTTCTAAGGTCGCGCCCGTTACGCGATTCATGACGTTATAAAAGGTTTTCTATACAAGTTTTTATTGACATTTTGTTTCAGTTAAATAGCTAATTTCTATACTATTTTTGTATCTTGATATATATGAACAAACACTTTATAATCATGAAAAAACGCAGTGTCAGTGTTGCACCCGTTACAATGATTAAATTTTACAAATAAATTATTAAAATTATCAAAATCAGTGTGATTTTGTATGTAAAATACTTTTTATTTAAGTATTATGGAGATATTTTATTGATTTTTAACATAAATTGTACTACGATTTTCTGTTTACATACTTTTTAAAGATTGTTTTTTGTTTTTATTATTTTACTATGGTTTCGCGTAAAAATCGAACAAATTTTGGACATTTATTTGCAAGTGATGCCAGAATTGAATATATTTTTTTTACCTTGTTTTTACATCTAAATGGTACATTTAAAAAAAAATTCATTCATCGACCGCTGTGGTTTTCAGGCCTTAAGTCACTCTACTGTGTTAAAAATAGATAAATTTCGATATTTTGTAATAACATTTATATTTAAAAACGTATAGATTTGAAATTAAGATAAAATGTAGACCTTATTAGTGGCAATAAATCTGCCTATTATTTTTTTTAGATTTTAACATAGAGGGGGCGCGGGGACAATTTAATTTAAAATTTTAACATTTTTGAAGGGTTAAAAAGTCGAAGAAGCAACGTTGTTTTATAATTTTGAGTATATCACGTTAAAGTACTGATATATAAACTTCTAAATGCAAATTATGTTTCTACGAGAGACACTATTTTTAAGAAAGGCCTTCAAAGAGCATAATACTAACGTGTTTTACAAATTATAAGTTCTTTTATCTAGTTTTATAAGATAATGTATTATATATTACATACAATATTTTATATATAACATAACATTCTTACACACAATTTAACACCCAATTTCCAAAAATTCTGTACTGTATAAAAATTATGATTGTTTATGGTAATATTTTTTACAATATTGTAAAAAAATATTACCATTAACAATCATAACTTTTATTTTATACAATATTTTTCTATTTAAAACAGTTTTTCACATACTTTTTTTTGCTCTCCGTTATTATTGGATTTTGTGCTGATTAAAAAATGGTAAAAACAAATAAACAATTGAGCTTAGGAAATTCGACGTTTAATTGTTTCTCTGTTTCCACATTTTAATTAGAATAAAAAGTTGCACCAATTTGCTAATTTAATCGACTTTGTAGCTCCAATAATAGCGGAGTTAGCAAAGGTGAGGTGATTTTATAATTATATTTTTATGTTTAATATTTTATTAATTATACTCTGTATATTTTAAATTTATCCACAGTTAAGTAGAAAAACCAATAACGGTGGATTTTATGGCCAGTAGTAAAAAGATATTGTATATCATAAAATATTCTTTAATATCCCATTTTAATTTAAAAATCGCTGAATTTTATAATTTAAATGAAACCATAATTTATACGATTTTTATATCTGCTACGTAATTTATTATAGCATAAAAGCTTTTTAAAACAACCCTTAAATTGATAATAATTATTTAAAGTATAATATTTTTTATCTTTTTAACCAAGCACCCATATAATTTTTACAATGTCTCCTGTCTAGACAAATAGCAAAGGCACCACCCTTTAAACATTAAAAAATAAAAAAATAACTTTACTTTAGCAGAGTTCAGCCCAGTAAAGTTTTTCTCAACCAATAAATACTTTAATTACTCCACATTTACGTTCGTTTTTTAATTGTTTTCATTTGCAGTAAAATTTTATATTAAACCTTGTTTATTGCGGTTTTGTGTCATAAGTTCGGTATAGATTAACTATACGGTTTTAAACGGTTTTTGGTGTATTAAACGAAACTTGGTAGTAAAGACAAAACGATTAAAACGACAACAAAAATTAAAAGTTAATTCGATTTCTGTTTAGGGTTTATTGCTTTTTTAAAATTACACCGCTATTAAAAGGCTTTACGAGAATAGATTATTTTTTACTGTTTTATAATATTTAGTATACAAATTATAAATTATTAAAACTATACATATACACGTACACCTGTTTTGTACCATTTAATTAATTATCCTTTGTTGCAACATTTGTAACATTGTTGGTAATTTTTAAAATCAAAAAAATATATGTACTCACTCATCGTGTATCCAAAGTCATCTTCTTTTTCAGGATCCGCTGAAATCTCCTCTTTTGTTCTTTTAACATTGGCAGCACTAGCTCTGTCGATCTAAAAAAAAATATTTACTAAAAACTTTTATTTTTTAATATCACGTCTTACTTGATGTCCTTGCGCCGAAACCGTTCTTCCCTCCAACTCCCTATTATCCTCATCATCTTCATCACTATCTTCAGAATCATCCCTGATCTCAATACGGCTCTCATTCCTTGGTGTTTCACCTCCACCCACTGAAGCAGCAGATACAGAAGAAACTTCCTCTTTGGAAGGCAAAATTACATCGTTTTTATCAGACCCAATATTTTGAGGAGTGGGAGACAGAAACCCCTGTGTCTCCTTAGGTTGCCCAACCTTATTTGGAAGCTCTTGAGGAGCCTTAAGGCTCACAGGTGACGGATGAGGCGATGGACAATTTTCTTCTTGGTTTTTGTTCGAGTTTTTGTCGTGATCTATTGATGCGGTGTTCTAAAATTATAATTATGCTAGTTTAAAGTCTATAAAAGTTTTTTAAAGGCTTACCCAAGGTTTTATTGATTGTATTATGAAAATAACAGGATTGGAAGCATTTCTAATGGCCTCCACAGCTGTCTCATGACTTGCTTGTCTTAAATCAACACCGCTGACTTCAAGAATTCTATCCCCAGTCTAAAAATATTATTAATTGTATATGTTACGGCTAATGTGCAAACTTGGATAGTTCATAAACTAGCTGGATAGTTTATAAACTAGCCAAACTGTCAGCTATTTTAATTGAAAATGTATTTTCAACTAAATTAGCGGCTAGTTTACAAAATAACCAAGGATATTGGCTAATTTACTTAAAATTATTAGGGAAACTAAAATAGCTGGATAGTTTGTATACTATCCAATTCAATTTGGCTAATATGAAAACCAAAATTTCTAGTAACACAAAATAGCCAAGCTTTAGCTAGTTTGTAAACTAACCAACTAATTCTCTGGCTATTGCCCATTTTAGTTGGGTTTTTTGCTCAATGGGGCGGGGGGGGCAATGGGGCGGGGCGGTTGGGTTGTGTTGTTGAGTTTGGGTTGGTTTGGGTTTTTTTTCTCATGGGGCGGGGGGAGCCAATGGGGCGGGGTCGGTAGGGTTGTGTTGTTGAGTTTTCTAACAAGGAAGCGTTAAAATTTTGCCTATGATTCATTTTAAAAACGTTAAAATGCACAAAACAAATCCGGTTAAGCCGGCAAAACGAAAAACAATGCCGTAACCTCACTTTTTTAATAAATTAGCCAGAGAATTGGTTGGTTAGTTTACAAACTAGCTAAAGCTTGGCTATTTTGTGTTACTAGAAATTTTGGTTTTCATATTAGCCAAACTGAATTGGATAGTATACAAACTATCCAGCTATTTTAGTTTCCCTAATAATTTCAAGTAAATTAGCCAAGATCCTTGGTTATTTTGTAAACTAGCCGCTAATTTAGTTGAAAATATGTTTTCAATTAAAATATATATATAGCTGACAGTTTGGCTAGTTTATAAACTATCCAGCTAGTTTATAAACTATCCAAGTTTGCACATTAGCCATAACATATACAACACATTTTAGTTATAACTTATCTTCTTCCTTACCTTAAATTGTCCTGTTTTTCCAGCAGGACTGTTCGGAACGACATTTTTGACGAAAATCCCCAAAACCGTGCTGGTTTCCGATTGATGGAGGTCGACTTTACCGCCCACTATGCTGATACCCAGGCTTCTGTTGGGCTCCCGGAAGATTTTGATGGTATGGGTCGAGCCCCAGTGTTTTTGCAACATGACGTCAACGTGGCATTCCTTTGGAGCGCCGTAATCGTTATCTAGTTGGCAGGTGACGGTCATTTGCTGTAGGTTTCTGTCGCTATAACAATATTTTAAAACCTATTTGAAGTGAAACTTCTTTGCGAACGGGGTAAAACAAAACTTGGAGCTACGTTACGTTACGGAAGTAATCTGAGACTCCACCCCCATACTGTCACGTGACCGCCCGTGACCTCGCTTCGATGCAGTGATGCCCAGATTGGGCGCTTTATTGCAAATTTAGGTTTGCGACAATTTTTTTTTATAAAAATCGCAAAACGAATTTTGGTTTTTTTTTTAACAAAATAAATTGCTTTTTAAATGTTAGCTGTTTTGCTTTATTATTTTCAAAATATCTTTTTGCGATTTTTTGAGTTGAAACTGCAAATCTACATTTATATTGCAGCTACCTATAGCTATTAAAGTTCCATTAGCAAATATGGTTGCTACTGCAGTAATGCCCTACTATGGAGAAAGGCAGTAACTGCTAAACAAATTTGTGGAAAATTAGCATAAACTACATTTTTATAAAAAGCAGTAGGTATTTAATTAACTTTTTTAACTTATGAGATATTTGACTGCATTTCTGTGTTGAATTCGGTTAGCTTTACCATAGCACAAAAAAACGCATTTTGCATTTTTTTGCAGTTACTGCCTTTCTTCATAGTAGGGCAGAGTATCCAAACATTGGTCTTCAAAGTAATAATAATGAATGTTTACTTTTGTACATTTAATTTATTCAATAATAGTATATTATGTATCAAGTTTTATAAACGCCATTTTAGTTACGAGTTTTATTAAGCACTAGCGAAGCTTGCAAGCGAGTCTTTAATAAAAACGAGTGTCTAGAGAAGTTTATAAAACGAGTTGCATACTATACTTTATCTACGATGAACAGAAATAAGAATTTAAAGACAATTTTATTTCATAAAATTTGACATTTAACAAATATAACCTCACTTTTTCGCAATTTATAATAAAGCTAACTTCAGCCAGTGACTAAAATGCCCAAAATCCACTGTTATTAACTTCAGCCCGTGACTAAAATGCCATAAAGTCACAACTCGTCAATGTAGGAGTAGATAAAATTGTTTATTGTGTTTTTTCAAGCTTACAATAATTTTCATATTTTAATCTTTATTGAATCACTTCATATTAATAGGAGTTCAAAAGTCAAATTATTATTAAAGTCCGTACAAAAATAAAGCTAAAATGTCATCATGTCAGCAAAGCCTAACCTAACAATGATGTAACAGAATCTTAAGAAAATATTTAATTTTAAACTCTTGTGTTATATATGAGGTAAAAGTTGTTTAAGGAACTCCTTGTTTGAGTGCAGATATTTGACTAGGGTAAGTATATACAAGTTGGATATAGAATATGGGTCATTCCATCGTTTCGGGTCGTTACATTTGTTCAACCAAAGTCTAAATTTTTATGTATTTTGATATAACATTTTAGCAACTAAACTGCCTTATTCTCTACGTTTTTAGTTGTTTTATCTAAATTGTAAAATTATTACAGTTTAGCATATAGGATAACGATTTTATAAGTCAAAAAGTGTGCGTTTTAGGTGTTTCACGATTCTGCCTCTATGTCCTGACCATTTTTACATTTATTTGAAATTCAGCGAATTTTCTTAGAGAAACATTCCTAAAAATTACACGCATCCAAAAGTATAATATTTACTAACCATATACCACATAATCACTGTCACAAATAACGATTTACTATTGTTTTTTTATAACATTTTACTTTGTTTCGGGAGTTACCATGGTTCTGTTTTAGGTGTTACATGTACAAAAATTAAACACTTAAATATATGTATATATGTATTAGGGTGGCCCAAAAAAAAAAGAATATTTTTTTTATTCTCGTCTCTGGTAAAAATATGTTGGTTTGTCATGTTTTAAGACCCCTGTCAAAAGATCAGCACCATTAAAAATTTTTTAGGGGTTGCTCAAGATTTTTATTTTTTTTAGGCCACCCTAATATGTATATATGGACAAAATCGGTGTTTTATTAGTTTTTAGGTACTACAAAATAAGTTAGTAACAAATAAACATAAATAGAATGAATTCTCCTTAAACATAACAAGCAGCTTTGGGTGCGATTGATAAATCGGCAAAAAATGTAAAATCGTTATTGCCAAAATTCGGTAAAAACGTAATTATTGATGAAAATCTAAGTATTCGGTATTTTGGTAGGTCCGTTGTCATTGAGGTAAAATAGGTTTGACTGCTTTTCCGATGAAGGAGCTAGTGGGCCGTCGAAAGAGCCTTAAAAATAATATTTATTGCATTCTTCAAGCAATACACACACATATATCGACATATGAAAAAAGTTGTAACACCCGAGTTTTACAGTTTTTAATCCAGAAAAACACATATCAAATTAGTCTCGTGCTCATATTATTATTATTATTATTATTAGTTAGTATTTTAAATCATTACCACCATAACGTTACTTTTACTAAACATTATTACACTAATCAATCTGTAAGGTATAATAATAAAACAATTACATGATTTTTCGTTTCGGATGTTACAGTGGCAAAGTAAGAAGAAAACACACTTAACGTGATAATTATCTATTTTTTCGGGACTGTAACGCAATTCACCAATAATAAGATAATCTTAAATCACAACGTGGCAAAACGGTTGACAGATTGACAGTTTTTTTTCGTATTTCCAATAGTTAGAGGCACAGTTCACTTGAGTACAGATTTTGAAGACTAATTAACATAAAAATTACGCGTTTCTTCTAGTTTTTTGTTGTCGCACATTATAATTTGAAATGTTTTCTTTCAAATACCATATATTCTGTGTTGTTTTAATAAAGGTCTACAACTCTCTCTACCAGGAACTTTTGCAATGGCCTTAACATTTCGGGATAAAACACATCCACTGGATTTTTCCAAAACGAGATGACAAATTGAAGAATGGAATTTATTTAAAAAAAATAAGTTTGAGTTGCATGGTAGGTACTAATCTTAATTATTCTTTTTGTGCAAAATATTTTACTTGGAAACTTTTATAAAAAGTTTGGATGTGCCCCGACCAGTTTAACCTAGGGTCCAATTAGATTCCTAAAATATTCCTATATTCCTAAAAAATATCTATATTCCTAAAAAATTTAACAACGGGAATAATGAACTCATAATTGATCGATTTTATATGAATATTATTATTATTATATTATTCATACAAATATTATTTACTGTGATTTTGACCAATCGGTTAGTTGCAATTATAAAGATATTATAGTCGCCCCTAGTATACTAAATAAAATCTGACATCCGTCAATTGATTTAACCTTAGTTTTTAATTTATCCCATATTTTTCATAATAAAAATTATCTAATAGGAGTAGAAAAAGCATAGTATTACATCCGAGATAAAGCCCATTATTTATTGGCATGATAAACATATTTCGCCTCGAGACGTAAACCGATTTATTATCTCTCGTATAATAATATATGAAAATATTAAAATGATATCTATTTTTAACGGTCACAAGATATTAATTTTCGGCATTTTAACTTTGCCTTTCTGACGTTGGCGCTAATTGAATTTTTGTTGGCGCCTAGACTTTCAAATATCTGGCATAAATGCTTTTATGCGTTGATATTCAATTTCTAACAGTTGACTGTATATAGGGCCAAGAACGTGAAAAAATATGTGCTATATATCATGGTAATTTAAAAGTTTCATAACTATAGAATAGTTATTTTTAATTGGGCTTGTATACTATGAGCTACTTTATTTAAAAGATTAAGTATTTGGGTCAGTCTTAAGCGTAAGTTGCAGAATGCCTGAAACTTTTAAGCTACCTTGCATAGTTTTTTGTCAATTTACTTACATGTTCAAAGGACACAATAAACCTTCTTAGCCGTCACTTATAATCCAGTATAATAAAACTCGAAAAAAAATGGCAATGCATAGGGCTTCTTTCTATATAACTATTTTACTATTAAAGGTGATGTCGGTCACATGGTTAGTGAAACACTGTTGGATAGTCTACATAATAGCCATAATCTTATAAAACAGTCGCGGCCAGGGGTTGCGAATTAGATGTGAGGAGGGTGAAGGGGTGTTATACTATGATCGCGGTATGTAATACAATAGCTTTGTATAATTTATGGCAGTCGGCAAGTTTTAACACAAAATTTATTGGGTAAAGACTAATGATGATATATTTTAAGAATTTAAACAATGGAATAATTTGTTTTTGGAAGAAAAGTTTCTGATAATATTTTTAAGTTGGTAAACAAAAATTCAAATGAAACAAAATAACGAGTATTGGTAAAAATCCCGGCGCATTCGCCATTTTTAAAACTAATACCAACATGCATGCAAAAAAATGTTGATTGCGGAGACTACCACATGTGAAATTCTACTCGTTGTGATGTATCTAAAGATCTGAAAGCCGTCCAATCTCGGGATTGGCTCTTGATTCCATTGTATGGCCATTTTTTGTCAATTTAAAAGTTTTGTGATTTGTGGAAAGATAGAAAGTTAAATCCTTTTAAATAAACTTATTGAACGAGTATTCTTTTAATTAGGACTTATGTCAAACAAAAACGTTTATTTAACAACAAAAAAAATCATGGTAACGAAGTTGACGGTGATTGTTGATACAATCTGATATCTGTCAGACGGTTATAATCTTACTTTCCAATGGCCACTTGCACCGTAAGTTTAACAGTGGTTTTATTTTTAACACAGGTTTATTTTTCATAACTGGCTTGCACCGTAAATTAATCCTTGTTTAAATACCTCTAAACTACTTTTAAAATAAACCCCCAATTTCGGTGGTTTAAATTACTTTAATCCATCCAATACTTTATTCAAGATCTTTTTTTACAAAGATATTATTAATTGACATCTTTAGCAAATCCAATAACTATAGTTATGGTATAGAGGTCAGCAACTCTATAATGAGTCACTACTAAGAACTACAAATATAATAGAAAGAGTATTTGGAAAAAATTTCCAGTATTGGCTTATGGCTTGAGATTAAAACTACATACAGTTTTTTCCATTATTCCAGCTGCAGCTGTACTACATAATATTGCTAGAGACATGAATAAACCAGAGCCGCCATTGCCTGATGATATTAATGCCATGAACTGGAGTTCCCTGTTGTTACTCATCCACAAGATCGCATTATGTTTCAAAATCAATTAATACAAGATTATTTTGCGAATTTAAAATTTCATTTGAATAATATTTTTGAGGTTTTATATAATTTATACTTATTTAAAATTAAAATAAAATAAATAGTCACTTCTTGTTTATTATTATAATACATATATTACGTTTTGCTTTTTCTTCTAAAATTTTTAAATCCGAAAGAGTCATTTCTTTTACATCCTTTTTATTGTTAATTTCCTGCCCTAATTGTTTTAGCCCTATCTGTTTCTTTGTTTTTTATGATACCCTTGTATCCACAAGATTAATTAAATGATTTTTTTCATTTTCTGAAAAATTTGAGGTGCGCCCCCCTTTTTTTCAGGATCTGTATCCATATTATTCTCTCTTACCATCAACTGAATCGGTCGTACATGAAATAGAATCGAACCACAGATTATAAAGAATCGAACTCTTAACGTCAAAATATATTTGCGTCACAAATAAGACTTAGTGTGAAGTTAGTTATTAGCATCAATCTTTTCCATTTTTTATTTTATTTTGTCAAATTCCCTAGATCACTAGTTAAATTTTAAACCATAGTAAAAAAATCACGGTGCAAAATTCTGGACACTAATCTCCTGTTACCTTGGCAAGTGGCCATAAATAAAAGATCATTATAGTCGCTTTATTTAAACGATTTCATGACATTTGACAACTTTGTACATTTTACAACTGTCAACTAACTAACTTCAGCCCATAGTTTGTCAATATGTAACATCACTAAGAGTCATGGAAAAATATACTTACTCGTTTTAAAGGTGGAAAAAGAAAAGGATATTTAAAACATATGGTTTAAAATATTTAGTTGAAAATACAAACATTCACTGGTAAATAGAAGTTGTTATTATTTTATTTAAAACACAGCGGCGTGCGTTCTGTATGCTAAATTTAAAATTATTACCAACAAAATGAAATATTCTTTTTACTTTACTCACCGATTGTTGTTATTTTCAAAATTATCCATTTTTTTTAAATTTTAATTTAAGGTTTTATCTGAATGGTAAGTTGTCTAAATCTCAACTGATATAATCTTGTTATTTTTTTGGTAAACATATTACGTGACTAATAAAATAAAGTAAAACAACCCAAAATCGTTTACTTTTATTAATAATTATTTATCCCTGTGGAATAAATCTCATCTTTAAAATTGTATTTTGCTAACACACAACATGCAATCCATTGATTATTTTGAACAAGTTTATAACATAGGTCAACCCAACCAAAAAGACAATTTTCGAAATTTAATATAAATTTACTGAATAGTTATTTATATCATAGGGCCGTGAGTCTTTTTGTGCTGAGCTCAAAGCACAAAAAAAGTTGTCAACCGAATTGCATACAATATTTTATCTTCAAAGCACAATTTTAACGATACATAAAACAGAATTATAATAATATTTATTAAAAGTAGTAAGTGAGTTAAGGTTGATCTAACAAAGTCGAATTTTGTATTGGGTTATTGCTTTTTTTACAGACTATGAGGTAAACAACTTTACCCGATTGGTCTACATTATTTTTACAGCCTAGGCAATAATCAATCACTTTAGTAGTGAGTGTTAAAAATAAAATTCTTTAAATTTAATTTTTGTGGCATACTTAAGTTTTACAGCGTATAATATTAACCATAAAAGCATTTTGCTCTATAAATGTAATTAAACATGTACAGATTGTGTCAATAAATATATCTTGTTAAGTGCATGAACGAAATTGGATTAAAATTTTCAACGTAGAGGGGCTTCCCTACAACTAACTATATAATATTTTTATTCTATTTCTCTATAGGACGACCGATCAAGATTCAATACTACGTATTTTACGTATAATGTATTAAATTTATTATGAAATAGTTTTGCAATACAATATCTATAAGTATATACATTAGAGTGCTTCAAAAAATAAAATTTAATTTTTTTTTCGGTCTTACCCTCTCAAATGTTTCTATTTAATATAAAAAAAATCCTCACCAAATATGGGCGTTCCAGCTCAACTCTAAGAGGTCGCTGTTTTTATTTTAGTTTCCCATTTAATTAACATGGGAAAAATAATTTTATGTTTGGAATTTTATACCTCTGTATCAAAGTAACTTATGGCAATGATCATTGCAGTTTCTTATATAAAATGTAACGCTCTGGTACAATTAGCAGACGGGTGGTGAAAGGGGGAAAACAAGGCAGCTGGGGGAGGGGCAAAATGGGGTACCCAAAAAATTTCAAAAAAAGTTTTTTTTAGATTGTTTTTTTCGGTTTCTAAATTATTTGAAAATATATTGACTCACGCTTTTAGTCGAAAATAATTATTCTGACCCTGTAGAGCGAGAAAAAGGATGGTACAAATTTGGAAAGCTTTTCATAATATGAAAAGTTTTCTAAATTTGTATTAAGCTCATTCTTTGGGTACCCCATTTTGCCCCCCCCCCTGCAGTAAATAGAGCCCAGGAGCTTTTAATATGATTTCTTTGTAATATATACCTAGTTTAACTTACATATCTTCTATTTGATGTCCAGGAACAAAATCGGACTTCCTTCTACACCTTTCAGGTCCAGGATCATAGGTTAGCATTACAAAGGACCTATCCATAACATCTGGAGCAGATCTACTCTTGAACGGCAGAACAATCTCGTGGAAAATATCTTCGTCAGCTAACTCTTTCTTGGTATTTTCTTTTTGTAACCTGTACGCCTCCAGACACTCCTCATAATCGTTATAGTACTCTTTTAAACATTTTTTGTAGCAATTTTTACGTGGTGTTGATGATGAGTCCAAGACATTTGGATCACTGTAACTTTTGGTGGGATCTGAGGGATATTGGACTAAGAAAAACTCGTCAATGTTTGAATCCTCGGTTTGATCGTAAGATTTTAAACCATCCTCATCGTATTTACTATCAAAACAAAGGTGGTGTTCGATGAAATCAGTGTTTAACAGAGGTTCTGATACAGCAGGGCTCAATGTTGGATTTTCAGGTACTGAGATTTTTTGGTCCAGTTTATGTCGTGAATTAGTCGGGGTAATATCATCTACTTCGTCTAGGATTTGTACTGTTTTCGATTCAAATGGATCAGTCTTTTTAAATGATTTATTATCCTCGGAAAAGGATTCGTCTATGCAGGTTTCGTAACCGTCTTTTTCGGAAATCTTGTCGCTTTGAGTTAAACTATCGGTTTTAACTAATTTATCGCACTTATTGTTATTTGTTTTTACACCGTTCACTTCACTTATTAACTTATTATCAACTACTATTTCATTCGTGGTACTTTTATAGCTAATATCATAGTCACTGTCATCTTTATTCTTGTTGACGTTCAAGTAGTTATTCTCTAAAAAAGTACCGTTAGTTAAGTTTTTTAAGCGTTGGGTGTTTTGGCCAAGTTCCTCCACCTGCGAGGTGCATGGGGAGTGGTTGAAGGAGTTTTCTTCGTCGATGCAGATGTGGACTACTTCAAGACACTCTTGGTATTCTTCTATGCATTCCTGGAAGTCCTCTAAGCAGGTTTGATCGTCCTCGGTATCCTAAAAGAATGAATTTTTGAAGTATCAATAAAAGTGAATTTTATTGTGATTATTATCCCATTAGGGATTCAAATTTTACTACTAAAATAGTAAAATTTCAAATGTTTATTTTTAGTATACATTTTGTTTTTGTTGTGATAATTACTTTATTAGTAGAAGTAAACATAAACATTGTTTTTAATTAAAATATGAAAAAGATCTCAAAGAATGAATTTTTGAAGTATCAATAAAAGTGAATTTTATTGTGATTATTATCCCATTAGGGATTCAAATTTTACTACTAAAATAGTAAAATTTCAAATGTTTATTTTTAGTATACATTTTGTTTTTGTTATGATAATTACTTTATTAGTAGAAGTAAACATAAACATTGTTTTTAATTAAAATATGAAAAAGATCTCATGTGGAAGTCATTGTGACATCATTTCATGATTTTCTCGCTTACAGATAAGTCATCATTGAGAAGTTATAATGAGTTCATATCGTGAAAACCAATACCGAAGTTACTGAATGCAGAATTTACCGCGAAATTTAAAATAATAAAATGGAAAGAAAATCTTGTAAATTTATTTATTTATTTTTTGTAATAAATATTTATATTTAAAGGCATATTAAATAAACAAATAGGCATATAAAATTTTAGGGAAAATTTGTATTAATTGAGCAAGGCTACTTTTTAAGGATCTTTTTTTTAATCTTCCGTGATTTGTTTTATTTGTAACAAAATTTCCTGTTCCGTAATATTTTTTGTGGATTTGGTCTTAAGCTTAATTTTCATGCATCCGTTTGTCCGTTAGTCCGATCATCCGGGAGCGCTCTTATTGGACCAATTATAATTCGAAAATTATGACATTTTATCGGTCCGTCAAGTTTCAACTTCGTAGGTCTGACGGAGAAAGTTCTGTGTTTGACCCCTAACGTTATTTTAAGATAATTTATTTTTAAATATTTTAATATTTTTTGTAATTATGATTGTAAACCGGAAATATTACGTTCGTTATTTAAATAATGTTTTTATGTTATGTTTTTATTTAATAAGAATAACGGAAAAAAGAAAAGACAAACAAACAAATATTAAATCCAGTACTAATAAAACCTGCTTTTTTAAAACTATATATAGATTTTAATGTATATTTAGGCTAGTATATAGGTATATAGGTATATTACACGGAGAGAAAAGTATAATGCTGATTACCATAATTATAATACCCTTTACTATAATTTATATTACTATTTGGGACAACTATCTTGTATATTGCCAGATACTATGCATATTTAGTAATTTTTAAATATCCATGTATGTTAAACCTTAAGGTAAAATATTATTATTCTCAACCAATTTTGTTTTTAATTCTTATTATAATTAGATTTTTTCCATTACTAATAAGTATAGTAAATTTTAAAATATTATGTTGCCATTTTAAATATAAAATATTTTAAAATCGAATATTTTTATATACAAAAGTTTATATACAAAAGTGCTCTTTTAGTTCCACCCTTACATCTTAAGAAGTCCCATAAGCCAACTGAATGGCTTGTGCGGGTTAGGGGTAGGAACGGACCGCGGGCTTAAAGTCCCCTCCGAAGGACTATTACACAATAGGACAAACACAAATAAACAGCCATACCCCTGGTGGGATTCGAACCCACGACCTCCGGCTTGTAGTCAGCAGCACTAACCACTCGTCCACCGTCGACGATACAATTAAAAATTGTAGCATATTTATAATACTGTGTAATATACAAAAATGTTATGAGAAAGAATTGAACCTACACCTCGACAAAGTTTTTTGTTTTGAGTGAGTTCCATCAACTTCAAATATCGAAAGAGAGGTGTTTTGACCTATATTGGGTATCATCAGTGTCGACATGACACTGTCGAGCAACTTGTAGTAGTGGAACACACCCAAAACAAAGAAACACCTGAGCTTATATAACATGGTTGGTAAGCCAACAGAGGCGAGATGTAAGAACATCACGTGATCCACACCGTCTAACGACGCGTCGCGACGTGGCCATTGCCGCAATCGGTACATACTATGCAACCAAGTAGGTTCAATTCTTTCTTATAAGTATTACCAGTAATGGGTCAAGTAAGTTTAATGAAGAAACTAAGAAAATTGAATGTTTAAAATGTCATGAGTTACTATATTGTATATTATATTTAAATATATTGTTTATTTACCTTAAACATAAAAGTATCTTTATTTTTACTATATTTTTTATTAATGTGTAATATATTATAATATTAGATGTACACCTTACATTTGATTAAATCATATACTAAATATTACTATTTGTAGATAGTAAAATCAATTTACTATACGAACATATTAAAAATTAAAATATATATTATACATTTATGATAATATCATATATTATATATTATAGTATTGGTGTTGTAATCTTTACTAAAATTGTATAATAATTAATAGTATTTTGTATTACAATCTTAATATTGTATTGACGAATATATAATATTGTTACCCTAAAAATTTGTTTAAGTAAATTTTACTATATTTTTTTACTATCTAAAATTTACTATACATTTCTCTCCGTGTAAGGCTAGTATATAGGTATATTTACCTACCTTTAAATTTATTAGACAGCTATGCTTAATTGTCATAGTTACAATTGTAACTTTAACAGTTATAACTGTTAAAGTTACAATTGTAACTATGACAATTAAGCATAAGGTATACATATAAGGTATAAATTTAGTGAAGTGAATATACTGGCTCTTTATTTCTATTTGCCGCCAAATCAATCCGGATACATGAAAATTAAGCTTTAATTGCTTCTTTAAGCCTTTGCTTAATAAACCTAAATATCTTAGGGTGATCATCGTAGCTTCAGCTCAGCGTAATCCTATTTTTTTCATCGTAAAAAAAAATATAAAACCACTTGTTTTCCAAAAAAAAACAAAAGATATTGAAACCTTTACGTTACCCAAACTTCGGCCATAAAAATAACAATTGTTACTTTTGTCCACAAATTGCCGCCCACAATCCACATTGTGCTGCCGTCAATCCACTATATGACACAAAAGATATCTTTATATAAACGAGGTTATAGTCATAGAAAAATAATATAATAGATTTTGATTCACCACAGGGCAATGTCACTGCGCGCATGCTCGAAGCGCATAATTTAACAAAAACGTATACTTCTAATTAAAAACTTATGATTTATGCATAATATGCTCAAAAACCATGAGATGAGCTCATCATGTCGTTCATATGACTACAACACGTGGAAATCATAACGTGATCTTAAACACGAAATCATGGATGTTGTCTGGGAATAGAATAAAATATATAGTGTATAGTTTGGGTCCCAACTTTTTTATTTGTTTTTTGCAATGCATTAATTACTAGAATTACATGTAGCGTCATCTATGAGAGGTCGTAGTAAGAATTAGTAGGTTTGCATACCGATTTAGCAAGGTTGCCAGAGGATTTTCCTGTTTTGCTCGGTTGCGAAAATAAGTGTGAACCTTTGACTTTTTGAATAAATGCAACCAATCACAGCGTTAGAAACGGTTAAAGTAAGTGGTTTCGAAAAACAAAGTAAAGGCAGAAGGAGTTGAGCGCAGCGTGGGTAAGTTTGAATCAGATTGAGTTTCGACGGGTCCTTTTGAAGCCTTTTCGCCTTTACACTCTCGTTAGTTTTGTACCCAACATGTCCCAAAACATTGTATACGAGGTGTGTTCAGAAAATATCGGGAATTTTCGTTTTTTGAAACCAATATTTATTTATTCGTCTACGTTAATGTTGTCGCCTTCAAAATAGTCCCTATTGGATATTATGCACATGTGCCAGCTCTTCTTCCAATACTCGAAACACTTCTAAAACTCGATCTTTGGGATAGCCTTTAGTTCTTTCAGCGATGCGCTTTTAATGTCATATATGCTTGCAAAACGACGGCCCTTTAAGGTTCTCTTTACTTTTGGGAATAGGAAAAAGTCAGACAGAGGCATGTCTGGCGAATATGGAGGCTGGGGCATCATTACAGTGCCAAAAATTTTGTTCAAAATTTAACAATTTTGAAACAAATTTTGCTGCCACGCGTTTCATACCCAAAATATTCGAAAAAATTTCATGGAATGAGCCAATCGGTATACCAACATCACCAGCGACTTCTCTGATGGTTTATAACCATTTCTTAAACTTTTTCCATGTTTTTATCGGTTGTTAATGTGCTTGTGCGTTCGGGGCGTTCGTCATCTTCAACGTCTTCACGGCCATCTTGGAAACTCTTATACCACTTGTAAACTCTTGTTTTACTTATAGCAGACTCACTATAGGCCTTTGTTAACATTTCACAAAATTTATTTCATTTTTTAAGCAAAATTGGAGACAAATTCTTTGATACATTTCTTTTAACGAACGAAAATCGCCGAGCTCATAAAACACGTCTAACCTTAGCGGCTGCCACAGACAAAGTAAACAATGAAAACAGCAAAAGTTTTTATCATACTTCGGAAGCATGTATACCAACATAATTAAGAAAATTTTATGACAACTAGACCCTCCGAACCCGCGAAATTTAACAATTCCCGTTATTTTCTGAACACACCTCGAAGGGGTGTGTATTTTAATCTTCGTCTATATTTTTGGCCTAGCTATAAGTTTTTTTAGCTTCGGCCCATATTAATTCAACGGTGGTATGGCGGCAAACAAAGTAAAATTTTGTTTTGACTCTTGGCAATTTCGTCAATTATGTACTTTTGGTATTTGTTCTTTTGTCTCTTTATAATTGCGAATAGTTGAACGTTTAGCATTAATTCTTCAAATTAAATATTCTTAGACCGCACCCAGTTTTGAATATTTTCTTTTTTGTGGAACATGACGGTACTTTTTCAATACTTTGAGAGTAATACAGTGCGTTATAATAATAATAATAATAATAAAATCTTTATTGCCCAAGAGTAAAAGCATTACTGGACATTTATATTCAAAGTTTATGTATACATATATATATTCAAAGTTTATGTATA